TATTAGTATTAGTATTAGTATTAGTATTAGTATTAGTATTAGTATTAGACAGGATAGGCTCTGAGGATGACTACTACTGCAGATGTTTAGAAACCCCTCATTTTGGAGCTTTTGTTGGAACTGAACTAGTCTGGTGACATTAGAAGGTTTCCAGTGGGTTGACCAGAAACCTGGAATTTAGCTTTATATAATAAACACTGTTTGTGTCAGAGAGCTTGAAGCCACCTGGGGTTTTTACTTTTTACTGTTGTTCCTCTTGGGATCCCTTTAAATTTTTTTCTGGTTTTTCTTGCCTTGCCACTCAAAATGAAAGTTGTCTAATTCCATCTTAGTATGCCTGCTGACTGTGTCTTCCTGGAGTCAGGAAGTGCCTCACTTGTTTTTTTTCCCACTTGCATACAGGCCTGGAGCATACTTAGTTAAGTTTTAGTGTTAGACAGTCTAGCAAAAATTGTTTTGCTTTTCTGTTTCCCACCGACTATTAGTTTCTTGGCTTTTTACCATGGCCTCTGACTGTTTTCACCTCCAAATTTAACACTGTATTAAATCTGTAGCAATGGCATAGGTCTCAGACTGAAATTTTTTGAAGCAAATAGTGTAATAGAAAATAATGATTAAAACCACATTTCAGCTAATATCTTTATATGGTGTTTACTCTTCCAGATAGTATTCAAATACTTGAAATGATTTTTCTCAAGAATCCTATGAGAAATGCCACATTATTATTTCGATGTACAGATGAGAAAACTGAGGGGAAGGTGGTTGAAAAACAGGCCATAGTTGGCAATGTCAGGATTTGAACCCGGCACCCTCACCTTGGGGTGTGGTGACTAGGAGGTTTAACTTCTGTGTGGTTGGAGAGTGAGCATCAGGACTGTGGGGTTTACGCTCACACACTGAGGAAATGATCTCTTCCATGTTTATGGGTGACTTAGACATACTCTCATCTTCTTCCTCTTCCAGATTTGCAGATAATGGAAAGGGATTGACTTTTGCCAGGTTTGTAATGGTTTTAAAATATTTGATTATTTTAAAGCTATAATGTAAAATCACCCTTAGTGTTTTTGTTTATTTTGGCATAGGGGGTGGGGAGTTAACCCAGGGAAATTTTATAATTTATTAGCATTAAAAAAAGAAAAGAAAAAAGAAAAAAGATCACTTTTCTTGGTACCACTAGAGGGCCAAAAACATATACACATGCACATACACACACACATATGTATGTATATATATATTTTTAATAGACTAATTGCAGTCTTGCCAAAGTTGTAGGCTAATTTGTTGAAATTCCACAGAAGGGTAGGGTAGTCATTAACTGTGCTTAGAAGAAAACACTTGAACTTTCGGTAAAACTATTTAAAAATAGGGAATGAAAGAAGAAGAAAAACAGAGTGAAGATTAAACATCATAACTTTCCTCTTAGAACTTTCTTTAACTTAGGAATAAGTTTTGAGAACTAAACTTTCCGTGTGTGTGTGTGTGTGTGTGTGTGTGTGTGTGTGTGTGTGTGTGTATACATGGGTCTCTGTGTGGGCTTCTGTGTTTTTCCACAGTGCTGGGGATCAAATCAGTCTATGCTGATGTTTCATTCTGCAGCTGACCTGCACCTCTACCCTTTTATGTAATTTTTTTTTTTAATAGATAAAGAATATTCCACTGGCCTTGTTACTCATACTTGTCACTTAATTGCTGTATTCTGGGAAAATTCATTGTTGTTTGAGGCAAATCAACTGTTTCTAATAAATTAAACTTTATGTTTATATATAATTTTCAAGTAACTCACTAGTTTATAAACAGAATTTTTATAGTATAAAAGCAATTTCTGAGGATTTCATAATGTATGTTAGGAAACGGTATTAGCTTAATTTTCTGTGTTTTAGCTTTCTAAATTGTAGCTTGGCTTCTTTTGGGGGGCAGTTTAAACTTCTGTGAGGATATCTGTAACCACTGTTCTCATTTCACCAGTGATGGGAGCTTCCCAAGTGATGAAGGTTCCAGCCAGGAGGTGTCGGAGTCCCTCTTTGTCGGGGAGAGTAGGAATTACGGCTTTCAGGGTGGCCAAAACAAGTACATGGGTACAGGGGGAATAGACCAGAAACCTCGGACGCTACCCAGGAACAGGTGAGTAGGACTTTGGCAGCGGAGAATTAAATAGTGGAGACACAGCCTTTTCCTGTAACAAGCCTGGAGAGATTGCCTTGCTTTGGCTCTTTTCCTGTCTTATTATCAGTGCTCAGTATTACCCGTATTACCATTGTCTGTTATCCTCATGGGATTTTAGAACACTAATAATTATACATGTCATAGGTTTTATTATCAGTTTTATGAAGGAGCTGCTCTTGTTTCTTTTCACTTATGTAAGACCTTATATAAGTGAATTTCTTTTTCTCTCTTAATGCTTTTTTTTTTTTTTTTCTTGAGACATAGAAAGTTGCCAAACCATAAACTATGACATTAGGTCAATTTCCCTGCAATTCATGATGCTGGTTTTTCAGAAATAGCTACTGGAAAAGGGAAATTACCTCTGAAAAGAGCCCTAGAAAATGAGAGTTAGTCGGATGCCAAGCCAACTCAGAATCCAGCCAAGGCCGTATAATTAGGTGTGTTTAAGATGGTGAGGGGATAGGGGCAGAGTAGGGCAGGTTTTCTGTCATCACAGTCACAATTCTTTTTTTTTTTTTGTGTGTGTGTATGTGTGTGAACTTTTTTTTTTTATTTGAAAATAGATTCTTCTCTCATCCCAACCACAGTTTCGCATCCCTCCACTCCTAGTTTCCCTATACCTCCCCTCTCCTCCGATCCATTACCCTTCCATTTGTTCTTTAAAAGGAGCAGGCCTCCAAGAGAAGACAGCCAGACAGGACAAACCAAGATACAATAAAACAAGGCAAAAAGCCCTCATATCGAGGCTGGACAAGGCAACCCAAAAAGAGGAAGAGTCCCAGGAGCAGGCAAAAGAGTTAGAGATACATTGCTCCCACTGTTAGGAGTCTCACAAGAACACCAAGCGACCAGCCATCATATACATGCAGAGGACCTGGTGTAGGCCCATGCAGGCCCCATGCTTGCCATTTCAGTCTCTGAGCCCTTGTTAGCCCTGCTTAGTTGGACCATGTTCTGGTGTCCTCCATCCCTTTTGACTCCTAAGGTCTTCCCTCCCCCTCTTCCAAGAGGTTTCCTGACCTTCCAGCAGAGGGACCTGATAGAGACCTCCAGTTTAGACTCTCCCTCTGTACAATGCCTGGCCGTGGCTCTCTGCACCCATTCCCATCTGCTGCTGGAGGAGGCCTCTCTGATGATAGCTAGACAAGTTACTGATCTATGAGTATAATGGAATATCATTAGGAATCGTTTCACTGATTTTACCCGTTCCTCTCCACAGTTGTGTTTGGTTTTACCCTAGGTCTCTGGGCTATACAGTCTCTAGTTCCTGGCCAGCCAGGCAGTGGAGAGCATGGGATCCCTCTCATGTGCCTTAAATTAACCAAACACACACAATCTTCCCCACACACCCTCTTTTCATTCCTTACCCAACCTGATCCTTCCCAATCCTATTCCCAACCACCCCCAGTCCATCCAAAAAAATCTGTTTTATTTCCACTTCCCAGGGAGTTCCTCCTAGACCCTCCCCTTTACCTAAGCTCTGTGGGTCTGTGGATCGTAGCTTGATTATCATTTATTTAACCACTAATATCCACATATAAGTGAATACATACTATATTTGTCTTTCTGGGCCTGGCTTTACTTGTCTGCAGATTTCATGATGCCATTTTTTTTTTAACATCTGAGTAATATTGTATTGTGTAAATGTACCACATTTTCTGATATTCTTCAGTTGAGGGACATCTAGGCTGTTTCCATTTTCTGCCTATTATGGATAAAGCTGCTATGACCATAGTTGAAAAACTGTCCTTGTGACAGGATGGATCATCCTTTGGGTATATGCCCCAAGAGTGGTATAGCTGAGTCTTTAGGTAGGTAGATTCCCAGTTCTCTGAGGAACCACCATATTGACCATTAGAGATCTTAAAGCAGCAGTTGGATTAGAAACCTCTTCAAAGCTCCTTAACCCAGCTCCTGGGCCTAAGGTTTGAAGCTGTCTTCATTACATCTGTAGGAAAACTAAGTAGAAAATAATCTCAGTCATGTTCTTAAGACCTCACTTCTAAGTTGATGTCATCATGGCCCATCAAGGATCAGCCCATTGTAGGAGTGCTCCCCCTGAGTGTGGGTCAGGATGAGTCAGGGGAGTGGGACAGACAGACTGACAGCTTTCCTGGTATCCTGTGCTAGCCTCTTTTGTCCTTGTGAAGTAGTGAGCATGTCACTCTGTGCAGCTTTTCTGTTGGATCATGAATACCACTAGAAAAGGAACTTCCTGTTTTTCAAGTTGTACTGAAGACTGAAGCCAAGTCCTCCTGCGTTTGAGGAAAGTACTCTCTGTGCCAGAATGTATCCTCAGCCATACTTCAAGAATCTGCAGTAACTCACATTTTCAAATGCTTGCCACGGCCTGTTCTTGGTAGCTCACCTTCACTTATCCCTCACAAAACACAGGCAGGTGTGTGTTGCAGCCCCCCACTTTACAAATGAGAGCTTGTTAAGAAGCGGAGGCAAGATTTGAAGCCATTGAGTTTGGCTTCAGCTCTGCATGCATCATGGTTATACTGTGTGTATTTTACAGAAGCAGGGTTGTTGGCTGTATGGGTTGTGCCGTGGTGCCCAGTTCATTTCTGTTTTTATTTAACACTGACATCTAGTTTTATTTCAAAATGCTTTTTCTATCTTTGCTAAGGAAGATTAAAGAAACAGCCAAAACCTTCCTGGATTAGTGAACTCAGGTTTTCTTTGACTGTGTTTATAGTCTTGTCTGTGAGGGTGAGTCATGTTGATTTTTGTGTCCAGAGTTTATGCATGAAGTATAGTTTTAATCATAGTCTGGATTTCTAAACATTTTCGTTGTCAAACTCTGTCGAGGTGCAGACCAGCTACTGTAGAAATCCTCTGAAATATCCTCAATAAATACCTTAATAGGAAAACCAAGGAATTAAAAATTTTATAGTCTAAATAAACAAACGAAAAAGTTTTACCCTTGTTCTGTGGTTAGATAGGAGGCTTTCTCTGCTTACATGGGTGTGTCTTTTGGAACAAAACCACAAAGAGTTAACAAATAAAACATCCTCCTCTTTGTGAGACCGTAATGGCCCAGGATTACAGAGGAAGGGTAGAAGAGACTTTCAACCCTGGATACCTCCAATGAGGATGGCAGGAGTTGGCTCCCTCCCTTTCTCAACCTGGTGCCATAAAATTGGCTGCCCACAATCAACCTAGTAAGAATTTATTACCTTGACAGTTATCAGACTCCTTGTTTGACTTTATAAGCTTCTCCTCCCACCCCCAACTCCATAGCTCCTGAGTACCTGTGCCCTGGTCAATGGTACACAGCCACACAAATCTGCCCCAGAGACCCTGGCCACCTCCTTAGGGGCATAAATACTTCCTTCTTCCCCCAATTAAGCGAGTGGTCTCACTGAAGCTGTCTCCCAAGAAGGCTGTTTCTTGTGCACTCAGAGATTCTGCATTGCGCCTACCTGCCCTGCCTAAGCTTCTCTCCCTCCAGTCCAGCTGAGTGTGCAGCCAGCCTGGGTACCCTGAGGTGAGAAGCAAAACTGGGGCAGCACTTACTTCTATATCCCTCCTCTCTCTCTTTCTCTTCCTCTTCCTCCTCTTTTTTTGTCATGGTACTCAGGACCTTGGACACGTTACTCAAGCACTCTACACTGAGCTACATGCCCAGCCCTATAGAAAGCATCACAGCTGAGTTGATTCAGGGAAATTCAAGGCCCTTGTTTAGAGAGACCCAAAACAAAAACATGTCTCTCCCCACCAACTCAACTGTATGACGATATCATGTTGTTTCCATGCACTAATTACCTACAATTACTATTTTTTAATCTGTCCTAGGATATGGTATTTTTCACTCCACTAGGGCTTGTGTCTTGCTTACCACTGTGTCTTAGAATTTTGTTTGGTGCTTACTGGATACCCGAAGTATTCATAAAACATAAATGTTGTGAAAGGTACAGGTCCATGTTTATTACACATATCTTCTATTTTAATAGGACATTTCCAATTCGAGGCTTTCAAATTTATGATGGACCTATTCATCTCACAAAGAGCACTTTCAAAAAGTATGTGCCAACTCCAGACAGGTACAGCAGTGCAATTGGCTTCCTCATGAAGAATTCTTGGCAGACAACACCCAGGAATAACGTTTCCCTTGTGAAGTTCGGTCCACAGGTAAGTATGTTCTCATGGCTCCTCCACAGGGACCGTGGCAGGGCTGGTAGGATAGCACATTCCAAAAGACAACCTGCAACAACAAAGGATTTATAGTGAGTTGAATGACAGGAAGAAAATTGTATACGGTAGCAACTCTTAACTCATGACTCAATCTCGTTGAGTTCAGGATGAGAACAGAAGTCTGTTGCCACTCAGGCTATTTTTGACATTAGATAATGTCTTCAATAGAATAATGGCTTAGAGTGATGATGTGGTGAATTTGTCCAGTTTCATAGGAACAAGATGGCATACGATTTTGAGACACTGAGTAGTAAGCTGGACAGTAGGCCCATTGCTGCTGAGAAATCTGAATCCTGCCTGATGGTGTACTTTTCTCTGACTTGTGTCCCCTTCTGTGAGGGACATAAAGTTGGTATAAGGAGGCATATTGGAGCAATGTGATAGAAATTGGGGTTGGCCATTAAGAAGACTTAAAATTTGTATTCATGTTGCAGTTGCCCCCAGAATATTTTTCTTAGTTGTTTCACCGTTTTCCACAATCCACAGGACAATCTTCTTAGAACCTCACACCCTTTCCATCTTGCTGGTTCCATGTTTGGAATGGCATGAGCCCCCAGCTCCCTGATCCACACACAGCCAAAACTAAAACAAGGCTCACGACTCTTTCATCACATCCACACAAAACTTGGAGTGGCTTGGTTTAAAGTAGGGCTTGAGATGGGCTTTCCAAAAGCCATAGCATCAGAGGATTCACAGGGATCATATCAGAGCCTCATCCTCCCTCCCTATGGTGGGGATGTTGTGGGAACAGTTTGTGAATGCAAGAGAAAAGGGTACAGTAACGCCAAGGACCTGGAGCCAGCTGATTCCAAGCAATGCTGTTGTCCATCAAGGTGCTTCTCGTTTAGATGTGCTGTTGATACCCAGCATCCTTGGTTGAGGAGTGCACAGAACTGTTTAGAAGTGCTTCTGTGAGCCTTGAAAATGTTAGTGGTTTTCCCCTAACGGGAGACAGGTAAAAGCTTTAAATGGTGTCACCTACAACTCACTTTCTAATTGGATGCTATGTGATTACTGAAGGATTTATTTCATCTTATTTTTTATGTGCCATGGGGGGAATTCAAAGCAGGACCTTGCTTACATTGGCAAGATTTCCACCAGCTGAGCTACATCTCCAGCCTCCCAGGAAAGGCTTTAAAGTAACTAGCTGACAGGGGAGTTACTGAGCCAGGCACGTTCTGTGTTCAGATGAGATGTAGCAGCACCTGTTCTCCAGCAGACTCTACTTAGAGTTCAGCAGACCCTCTCCATCCCCTCTCCGTCGTAAGCCAGCACCGACACTATGAGTCAGTTTCGACCTGTACTGATATTTTTGCTGGGCAAGAGTGATAGGAATGGATAAGTTACTAAATCATTTGGAGTGAGGTAAAGTGATTATTGATATACTTTGAATAGATTTTTTATTTAATTCAGATTTAACTTGCATACAGGGACATGCACAAAATCTTTTTTGTTTGTTTGTTTGTTTGTTTTTGAGACAAGATTTCTCCGTTTAATAGCCCTGGCTATCGTGGCACTCATTTTGTAGACCAGTCTGGCCTTGAACTCACAGAGACCTACCTACTTCTGTCCGACAAATGCTGGGAGTGAAGGCATGTGCCACTGCACCTGGCTACATGTGGAGTTAATAATAGTTTACAAATAGGTATGGCTGGTTCTACTTTCCTCCCCCCCGCAGCTTCATCATTTAAGTGAAAATAAAAATGAAGTTGCAGCTTAATGCTTCCCAGTTGAGCTTCATGAATCTTTAGAGATGTTTTTGCTCAAGCATGTCATTTTGTAGGACAGAGGTCAAGTGATTGCCATGGTTGCCACCAGTGACCTGTGAGTTGTAAAACTCCATTGGGGTTCTGTGGCAGGCGCTATGTGAGCTGACGGGAAGCTCATCCTGTGATATTCTGGTCTTTCCTGCCGCCAGGTCTCTCTAAACGTCTTCTTTGGAAAGCCTGGCCCCTGGTTTGAGGACTGTGAGCTGGATGGTGACAAGAACTCCATTTTCCATGATGTCGATGGCTCTGTGACAGGATACAAGGATGCCTATGTGGGGAGGATGGACAACTACCTGATCCGCCATCCAAGCTGTGTCAACGTCACTAAGTGGAATGCAGTGGTCTGCAGTGGGACCTATGCCCAGGTAGGTCCAGAAGGTGGTCCAGGCCTGTGGCTGCCTCTGGGAGGAGGATGTTAGCTCTGTAGGGATTGGGGCTTTCCCAAGCACAGTTTTTATGGGGGCGGGGAAGAGAAAGAGAGAATATTCTGCTACATGTGAACTCAGAGAAGTGAGTCTGCCGGGGATGTGTTGTAGTTGGTATGCAGCTGAGACAAGAGAAACCATGCTCCTTTTCCTGAGACAAGGTCTTCCCATGCAGCCCAAACTGGCTTGGAATTTGTGGCAATCCTGGCTCTGTCTCCACTTCTTGTGACTCTGCAACACCATAACAGATAGTTAGGCCTGAAGTTTCTTGACCCTTAGGCTTTTCTTACTGCATTCTTCTTACTACATTTCTTACTATATTGATTCCCTTGAGGGAGTTTTATTGTTTACTTTCAGGGTTCTTATCTCTGTGAGATCTGACTTTGAGAATATCAGTAAGTCACTGAGAAAGCATAGTGTACCAAGGAAGGAACTGAGGTTTGGAAATCAGTAGACAAGAAGGAATCCAAGGAAATCCTAATTATATTATGATAGGCTGTGGAGATTTGGAAGTGATAGCACAGATATGTGGGGAAATACCTCTTTGAAATCATTAAGCTAGTATGTTATCTCCGCAGATGAGAGGCGTATTTGCAAAGTGTACATAGTTAAGAGCACAGACCCTGGCATCAGACTGTCTGAATTTGAATCCTGGATGTTGTTACTTGCTGAAATGTGAGGTGGATAACTCAAGGGGTATTCTGTGGCCCTGCATAATGGGAAGAGTAACAGAACAGGATGTTTTCACGGATCATATTTAGTATGCAGTCTGGCTGTTGTTGAAGTGCCTGCTGCCAGTTGAAGAGCAGGGCTGTAAGTCGCAAAGCTGGCTCTAACAGAGATTTGGAATGATGGAAGAGCTTACAGAGCTGAGGATTCAGTTACCCATATATTAGGAGAAGATTCCTTAAGCCCCATATTTAAGGCAGTAAAAGTGTGGGATTTAATCATAGATTGCTAGACTAGGCGTGGTGGTACACGACTGTGATTCTAGCATTCAGTAGCCTAATGCAGATAGATCTCTACAGCATGGTTAGCTTGGGCTACATAGTAAGACAGTGTCTAAAAAAAAAAATCAGAGGAGAGAAAAGAATAAAAGAAGAGGCTGATTTGAGCACCAAGAAGGAAGTTGGAGGAAGAACAAGGGACACTCTAAGTCACCCTGGCCTGTGATGGCTGATACCAGATACCTCTCTTTATTGTGTGGTTTCTCCCTGCCACTGACCTTGGCCTAGCAGCCTGCTAAGCACAGTGCATGTGCTTGTGGCTTCCTGCTTGGCGCTTCCCCAAGCACCCCAAGTTTGATGTGGTTTTCATCTCTCAGCCTTCTGTAGTCGGCATGCCTTAGGGTACAGTTCTTCATTATTATTCTGACTTTGAAATGTTGTAGAAGAATGTTACTCTTAAATTAAAAAAAAAAAAGTCTAGCTTGTTCTCTGTAGACAAGAAAAAGACTTAAGAATGAAGACTAAACAGTACTTCCTGTTTATTCTATTAGCGCCTTTGTTGTGGGAATTCTCATTCCTTTGAATGGGTGAGGGCAAAAGGTAATAGAGGAGCAAGTCCTTCAGGGGATGAGGATTAGATGGAGAGTTAACCACAGCGTAACAAGAAAGAAAAGAAAGTGGTTTAAAATGGGGTCCCCCTATTTCAATTTGTTCTTATTCACATTAAATGTCCCCATCAATACTTAGCCTCTACAGATATTCTAAAATTAAAACCAAAACAAAAATAAGGAGCCTTTACTCTTTTAGTAGCTGCAGTTTTTATTGAATTTAGTTTTTGCTAACTGTGTGTGTGTGCATGTGTGTGTTTATATGTGTGCATGACAGACTGACTGAAGATGGTGAATGCTCACTAATGAAGATATTAAATGTCTGTAAAGTATGTGGTATATGGTTATAATAGGTAGTAATTTTTGTAAGTTCCAGTTTTTAACTAAATACTATATATTCTCATTCATTTACTCAGTCAACCATTTGGCCCTTTGGGTTTGTAATGCTATTTGAGATCTGAGTCTAATCATTCGACCTTAGGCAGCAGGGTAATAGTTTTACTTCTGTTTGTTGAGTCATTTATGCTTCTCAGGAGAGCGTCTAGGAATGGGAGAACCATGGGTTACAAATTCTTTCCTGGAGATTTGAAATTTTGGACAGAAGCCCAAATATATAGCTGTTTGCTTTTATTTAGGAGTATAGTATGCATTTGTGGCAAGAGGTGGCAGCAACAGGATGTTATGACAGAATTGTTGTTCTTCGTTTGTTTTTCGAGACAGGGTTTTTCTGTGTAGCCCTGGCTGTCCTGGAACTCATTCTGTAGACCAGGCTGGCTTTGAACTCAGAGATCTGCTTGCCTCCGCCTCCCCAGTGCTAGGATTAAGGACGTGTGCCAACACACCAGGCTTTTCAGAATTGTCATTCTTTAGTTACCTGCAAGTGTTTTTAGGTATAATTTCCGTCTGCACCTGACTGATGGGAAGGATGAGGAAGAGAAGTGCTGACATTGGTAGACCCACAGTTGCGCACACTACGACAGATTGTCATTTGGCAGAAGGCAGAGAGTGTGTCTGCTATCTATTTCTCTCTCCCATATGTGCTAACTATGTATTTAGTTGCTGGAGGATAACACAGTAAAGTGGTGCAAATTGTATTTCTGATGCTGTAAAGACAGACACAGGTGGATCCCTGGGGCTTGCTGGACAGCAGCCTATCGCAGTTATGGTTTCTATTGCTGTGAGGAGACACCATGACCATGGCAACTCTTATAAGGAAAGCATTTAATTGGGGCTGGCTTACAGTTCAGAGGTTTAGTCCAGTATCATAGCAGGAAACATGGCAGATGCAGGCAGGCATGGTGCTGGAGAGGTACCTGAGAGTTTGGAGCAGCAGGCAGCAGGAAAAGAGAGTGACACTGGGCCTGGCTTGAGCATCTGAAACCTCAAAGTCCACCCCCAGTTACACATTCCTCCAGCCAGGCCACACCTACTCCCACAAGGCCATACCTTCTAATAGGGCCACTTTCTGTAGGCCCATGCAATTCATTTTTATTCATACCATCACAGATCCTAACCCTAATTTGTGAGGTCCATGTCAGTAAAGAGATCCTGTCTTAGAAAGCAAGGTAGACAGTGCCTGAGCAGAAATGACATCTCAGGGCATCCTCTTGGCCTCCACAATCTCATGCACACATGTGCCCCACACAGTTGCACACATACATGAAAGTGTACACGAGCACACACACATACACACATTCCAAAATGTATTTAAAGAAAGAGAATTGCTAGTCTTATGTTTCCTACTTCCATTTTGAATCTTTAAGTGGTGTCAGTACAGGATTAAAATATCCTATAGAAATGAGTGTTGAGAAGAAATTCTGGCTCCAAGAGCATAAAGCGGAGGGCCCACTGTGAACAAGATTATAGAAGAGTCCAGGGAACTGTGGGTAAAGTGTCAGTATTCTGTATGTGATTTCATTCTCCTGGAGAATATGTTGCTAGATATTGATTTGTTTTAGAAAATTGTTCTGAGGCTGTCTTGTGAAAGATGCCCTGGAAGAAGGAGTTAGTTTGGCCTGGAACGTGGTTCAAATGATACTGGGGAAAAAAAAAAAATCAGGAATTTCCAATTTATCTAAGCTTAGCATGTTTTTCCAGATACTGTAGAGAACTTTTTAACTTCTGTTTTCAAATGGGTGAAAAATGACTTCTTGGGCAAATAGAGGTCATGGAAGACTAAAGCCAGAACTCTCAGATATGAATTTTCCATCCCATGGATCAGAGGAAGTCTTAGATTCTGCCTGGAGCTTATCAGTTCTCCCTGGTGCTTGCTGATTTGTTTTGGATATGTGCTCTTCAGATGGTGGGGTTTCTGTGACAAGCTATGCAAGCCGCAGAAGTTCTCCATTCTGATGAAAAAGCTGGCCTGTGCTGCTGGAGCTGATGATGATATTGGCCAGCAGAATGAGGGTCTGGTTTTAGCCACATCTAGCTTCAGGAGTCTGTATCGTAAACATGGCTCACCCCTCTTGGCCACTACTTATTTGGTCTGGCACTTTACCACAGAATCTCTCTTTTTAAAGTAGAGACCCTTGATGTATACTGGGTAAGTTCTTGGAACAGTTTAATCTTTTATTCACTCCCTTCCAATTCTTAACTTTTTCTTAAAGGTGTATGTTCAGACATGGAACACTCCGAATCTTAGCATGATCATCACACGAGATGAATACCCATCCCACCCAATGGTGCTTCGGGGTATCAACCAGAGGGCCATCTCTCCACAGTACCAGCCTGTCGTCATGCTGGAGAAGGGCTACACCATCCACTGGAATGGCCCAGCGCCACGTACCACTTTCCTATACCTCGTGAACTTCAACAAGTAATGTTTCTACTTCTGTCCTTGCAAACAGTTGAGCAGGCAGTCACAGCAGAGAAAAGAGTAACATACTGTAAAGCCAGTTCATGCACTTTATTGTCGTGGAGACGCTGTCTAAGCTGTGTGGATGGAAGCATGATGTACAAATTGATTATGCAAATCAGCTTGGATTTTCTCTGTCATCAAGTATTGTGTTCAGAAAGGCTGCCCCACAGTGGGGGCTGCTTTGCTCTGGTTTTGTTTTCTGAGGTAGTTGGGATTGAATCCAGGACCTCAAGTATGTTACCAAGAGTTCTGCTCTAAGCCATATCATCTGCTCAAAAGATAGGTTTTAATACCATCTGCTGAGCGCTGCAGTTCCTAAGGCTGGTCTCAGTTTTATGTGGTTTTTCTGAGTAAGCATGTGGAAAATTAAATTAAAAGGCTGGCTTTTTTTTTTTCTTCCTCCCCCCCCCCCACCATGGGGAAGGGGATGACACAACCTTGCCATATAGTCCACACTATACTTGAAATTGTGACAGTCTTCTCCCACAGCTTTGCAAGTGCTGGGATTATGGTATAAATCACAGTAGCTGACAAAATTGAAAGAATGTTGATTCCAAGCATAGACTGGACAGAAGAAAGTGACATGATTAGTTGGCATGGCCACTAGGGCAGGAAGAAGGAGTTTGGGGCTTGAATACTAGGTATTTCCCACCCCTGCCATGTGGTATTATTCTGTCCTGTCTTATGTCAGATTAAGCACATTAATAATAATCTCTGAGTTCCTAAAATTTGTTGATACTGTGATAAGGGAAAGATATCAAAGCACTTTTTCCTCTAGTAGGTTTATCAAGCCCACTTGGATTCTCAGTTCTCATCTCTTCGTAGTCTGTCTATTGTATGCTTCTAAATTTGCCTGATTGAATGCTGTCTGTCCCTGTCCCTGTGTCTGCATCTGTGTCTGTGTCCTTAACCAGGGGCTCCAATTTATTTATTGAACAGCACAGAAAACATCCCATGGGGAAGGAATGAGGGACACTTTACAGAAATCTCAAACAGTTTCACAGTGTTGGTAAATAAAGCTTTACTGACTGTATGAGCCCAATTGTCCCAGATAAACAAACTACTGCAAATGCAACTGCAAACAATCTTTATCAACTTGTATCTATGTTGCTCCCAGCATTTATAGTGAATAGGTTTTATAAGGTTGCTTTCAACCTATTTGCAATTTTCAGCATTTAATGCCATAACATACATACTCGGGGTCAGGGTCATGGAGGAATACATAACTTATGATCGTAGCTATGCCTTAGCTTAGTTAGCAAAAGTTGATTACAACTAGGAAATTCAGGACAAGTTGTTGATATGTTGTTCTCTTAAAGGCCGGTAATCAGACAGTCTGAGTACACAGAAGGATAGCAGTCTTAAGTCTCAGGGTGTATCCTTAACCTGGCTATGAGGTCCAGCAAAAGTTCCAGCCTCCTGTCTGAGAGTCAGGATTCTTGAACCAGAGACAATGGTCCTAATAGGATGGAGCCTAAAGGAGTAACTGGAATGAGACTGTGGATAGCTTTGATGACACGAATCTTGCAGAATCCCTTCTCTGTGGTTTTTATGCCTACGGTCTTGAGAAGGCCTCTGCCATTTGGCAGGGAGTCATTCTTCATTGTGTCAAGGAGGTATGATGGGAATGCTCAAGCCTAGTCTAGGACGGAGAAAACAGCTACATCTGCCATATCAGTACTTTAGCAGATTGAACTAGATCTAACGGCCACTCAGGGCTTTGGTTCTGGCATCTGCTCATGAATTGGCTCAGCAAATACAAAATGTAGTTTTGTATTAGGGGACTGCATGGGTGACTCTTGTTTTGCCTGTTTGGGGGCTACCAGTCTGAATGCTTAGGTGCAGAAGCTGTGGATAGAAGCTCCCCAGCATCATTGTGAGCACCCCTGGCCAGGTGTTTGATATGCTTACCTGGAGATACCTGTCCCCCAGCTACATCAAGATGTTTGTGCTGGATAAAGCCGATGAAATGTTAAGCTCTGGGTTCAAGGACTATATCTGTGATATATTCCGAAAGTTCAACAGTATCAGGTAGTTTTGCTGTCAACTACAGTGCCTTCTGATGTCTTCAGAGTTACCAAGAAATTCAACGAGAGATCCCATTCAGGTTTTTTGTCAAGAAGGAAGAATTGACCCTGGAGGGTATCTGCCAGTATACATCAGTGTGGACTAGCAGAGTGGATACCCTGTGACTCATGTGAAATACTGTCACCGAGGCAGTAATCTTTATCAATTCCAGAAGAAAGGTGGATTGGCTCATTGAGCAGATGCATGCCTGGGATTTCACGGTTTCTGTCATGTATGACGATATGGACCAAAAGGAATGAGATATGAGCACTATGGAGTTCTGGTCTGGTTCCAGAAGAGTAGTAATTACTACTGACCTGCTGTCCAGAGCCTATCAGTTATGACTGCCTTACCAACAGGGCAAACTGGCCCCACGGAATTGGTCGCGGTGGTTGGTTTGACCGTAAGGGTGTGGCTACTAACATGGTGACAGCAGAAGACAGGGAGACTCTTCGGAGACTGAGACTTGCTACAGCACCTCCACTGAAGAGATGCCCCTCAGTGCTGCAGACTTCATCTGAGGGGCTGTCCTGCTACCTGGCCCTAGCCAGGGCTCGCTCCTCAAGCCTGGGGAGCAGAAGAACAGCTGGAGTGAGGAATGAAGGGAGCCAAGGGATGAAGATCTTGTTTTTGCTTTTCTCTCTTTGAATAAATGTCACTTTTTCAAGAAAAAAAAATCCAATCTCTTAGAATCTTAGCACGTAAAAGAGATTTTCATAATAATGTCTCATGATACTGTCCTAACTAACCAGTTGTCTGTCCTTATAGTGTCACATTCCATCCAAGGCTGTATTTTCACTGGTTTGTTCATTTACTGTGTGACAGTTGATATAAAGATGAATGAGCTCACATTAGAGGTGGGAGTAAATATTGTTTGTTTCCTCCCCTCCTCCTCATCTTCTAAGTCTGCTTTAGTGGACATAGGATAGGAATACCAATTCTGCACTCTGCCTAGGGGGGTAGAGCCAGGACATGGTGAGGAAGTATTATTCTATAACTTGTCAGTGTTGTTCAAAAGTCCAGAGCTGAGAAAGGGCCTGCTCCGCTCGGAATGGTAGATTTGGTGAATAGGAATTTAGAGAACATCAGAGAAAGGATAGAAGTTTAAGCTAGACGGTGGGTATAGTGATAACCATTCCCTGTGTCTTTGGGGAGCTGGTTTTAGGACTCCTTGAAAACACTAAACTCTATACATGTTCACATCCTTATATGAAATGCCATGATATTTGCATGTAATCCACATGTACATATCCTTCTGTATTCTTTGATCATATGTAGATGCTTTCTGTGTTAGAGTCATAAGCGGTTGTGACACTGTATTGTTTAAGAAACAACAGCAAGGAAAAAGTGTATGTTTTCAGAACAATTATAGTGTCCTTTTTCTTTTGCATGTTTTCAATTTGCAGTTGGTTAGTTGAGTGTTATGTGGAAGCTGCAGGGTCAAATAGTCTGAATTGTGTGGTGGCTAGCTCATGGGATTCCATAGTTGCTCAAACCTATACCTGAAAATTGATTAGCTTGTTTCTCTTTTTGGCCATGAAGCTTTGACTTGTTGGGATTTTCTTAATAAGTAGTTGAAATAAACAGAGGACTGGGTACAAGTAGCTCACTTCCAACGCTGGGTACTCACGATGGTGGATGCCCTTCATGTGAGATTTGTGCGTGCTCCAAAAGAACCACTACTTTCTTCTCCAACATTGCTGCTTATCTGTAGCCTACTAATATTGCCACGCCCTGATGCCCGGCAGTCACTTCTTATGCTGGCCCTTCCTTTTCCATCTCATTGCTAGCAAACTCTCATTTCCAGATATTTCCAGGCTCTCCTTCATAGTTTATAGCTGAATTTAGGGCATCAACATCTTTACCCAGATCCTTGCAGCAACTCCCTGCTCAGTCTCACCATCTTCAGTCCCTGGTTCCCATTGTGTTCCTGGTAAGATTTCTCCAGGACCAGCCTGATGTTTGTTGCCTGTGAGCTGCAGAGAATCCAGTGAGAAAAGAACAGTAGGTAGGGATGTGGAAGAGTAGCCAATGTTCCTGTTCCAGAAAGCTATATTGAGCTGGATCATGGTTTTGAGGTGAGATACAACAGTGAAATGATGGAGAGGTTCTATTAAGTACGATGCAAACTTTTCATACAATTCTGGACAAATGAAAGATTTTTAAAGGGAAAAAGGAATGAGGCCAGAAGTTTTAAAAATCAACACCAGGTTGAAGTAAAGTCATTTTTTCCTTGCCTAATTAGCTAAGAGTTCATAAAATTACATGATGGGCAGAGGCAACAGGAAGAAATGAATAATTTTTTCTGAATTTAGTATAATTACAAAGAGGTCATAGCTCTACTTCTGAAAATAACAAATTAAACATTTAAATTCTGTACTTAGTAAACGTAATAAGGAAAATATAGAGAAACTATAAGAATATGGAGATAATTCTTAACCCTAATTGAAGCAAGGCAGATAAACACGACTGACCTATTTCCCTTCACCCTCAGGTTTTTCTGAGCTGTTTAAACAAACATGAGCACTGAGGTTTTCTACCCCTTTCTGCTGTTACAAATGATACCTCATAGAACATCTTTGCTTTTAAAGCTTTTTGTCTGCATTCATATTTATTCCTTAGTGAGATTACTTGGCAAAATGTATGAACAGTGTGAAACTCTTGCTCCATATGAAGGCTTTTTAGAATGATAGAAAGGTTGTGGCGCAGGCAGTGGTAGTGACTACACATCACTGTGAATAAAAATCAATGCCCTGAACCGTACAAGGAAAAATGCTTCAAACGATAAGTTTTACAGGGTAGTTATCTC